GGGGGGGGGGGGGGTACTGCAAAAATGACCATAGTTTCGACATCGTGAGTCACAGGAACAAATCTACAGCAAATCATGATCAACATTACAACTACCTTTTTTATTTCCCATAAATTCAAGGTCAGGCATACCCAACTACCAGACTCGGCACCGAATGATCCTGAATTCACCGGTAAATCGGACCACACTACCCGTTTTCAAGGTGTGTATCAGTACACATTTCACAGTATCAGACGCGACACCGCTCTTGCCTAGTACGCGATGTGATAGTGACGATTCTCAGCGGGGTTGAAAAGTATTGCATCACCACTCAAAATTTGTTCAGGGTATGATACTGTGTAATGTGTACTGACTCACACTTTGAAAATGGTTAGTGTGGTCTGATCTACCGGTGAATTCAGGATCATTGCCGAGTCTGGTAGTTGGGTAGGCCTAAAGGTACCGGTTTAATATACATGTATGATCAGACTACTTCTCTGGATCAGATGGGACAGGCCCATACAGGAAGGAGCCGAAAGAACTCTTTTGGACGGAAAAAGGTCCATTTTGAATAAAAAATTTAGGTTCTGTGCCATTTCTTGTGAAGGATCAACAAAGGGAGTAAAAGGGTTCACATTTTCAGAAAAAAACCCAGTTGAAATGGTCGAATTATAGACTTGTAGGGTCTTGTGAAATTTTGTATCATAGTTTTTGAGCCTGCAAATCACTGTGATAATGCTTCCTTGATTATAGTAAAAGTAGATAAAATTGTTGGTATTAAATATCTAATTGTCCTTTCTCTTTCTAAGAAGCACAATTTGCATTTACAAATTGTCTTGTATTTTCAACATATAATGAACTGGCCATGCTGAAAGTGTGCCAAAAAAATCAACATATTTATTCAATAATAATGTTTTTAGCTGTGACTTTCTGTGTAAAATTATGGAAACTTTGTTTGCTGTTATGCCATTTTTATGTACAGACACAGATGTGTCTGTACATATAGCCATCATCTGCGTCTGTCGTCGCCGTCGCCGTCGTCGCTGTCGCCGTCGTCGCCGTCGCCGTGAACTTTTACCGATAACACGATAAATGGAAAACTGTTTTTTTANACTAAATAAGCTGTAAATCAAAGAGTAAAATCCGGTCACGTGATTTTCCCGTGTTGCAGTCTTTGAGAAGTTTCAGTTCAGGGTGTTTGAAGTTTTGCCTCGACAAAATGCTCAAAAATGTCAGGGAAGTACTGGTTTCAGTTTTTTAAAATTTATATCGAATAAAGTTTATGAAATTTGCAATATTATGTAAAAAAATCATGAAAATTAAACCATGCGAAGTATAGTTTATTTGATGCGCAATATTTATAGTGCTTGATCTGCACGGAAGCCATCCCAGCCATGTGCTTGTGCGGTCGCCAATTTGGGTTTGTTTCCAGGTCATTAGATTAACATACAGCCATAATTGCCCTAATTGGTCACAAGCAATTTGAGCTGCAGCTACAGCTGAGTGATCACCGCTGGTCAGTAGTGACAGGTTTTAAGCTGAAAAGTGTGGACACTTTTGGTGCATTTTTGCAGTTAAAAAACTTCAATATCTTTGTTGCTTGTAGGAATATTAAAAAAATAATGCATTACCTTTCAGATGATATAAGTATTATAATTTTCTGATCAGTTTGAAAATTTTTCTGATATACCTAGTTTCGACATCGTGAGTCACAGGAACAAATCTACAGCTAATCATGATCAACAACTACCTTTTTTATTTCCCATAAATTCAAGGTCAGGCCTACCCAACTACCAGACTCGGCACCGAGCGATCCTGAATTCACCGGTAAATCGGACCACACTACCCGTTTTCAAGGTGTGTATCAGTACACATTTCACAGTATCAGACGCGACACCGTTCTTGCCTAGCATGCGATGTGATAGTGACGATTCTCAGCGGGGTTGAAAAGCATTGTATCACCACTCAAAATTTGTTCAGGGTATGATACTGTGTAATGTGTACTGACTCACACTTTGAAAATGGTTAGTGTGGTCTGATCTACCGGTGAATTCAGGATCATTGCCGAGTCTGGTAGTTGGGTAGGCCTAAAGGTACCGGTTTAATATACATGTATGATCAGACTACTTCTCTGGATCAGATGGGACAGGCCCGTACAGGAAGGAACCGAAAGAACTCTTTTGGACGGAAAAAGGTCCATTTTGAATAAAAAATTTAGGTTCTGTGCCATTTCTTGTGAAGTATCAACAAAGGGAGTAAAAGGGTTCACATTTTCAGAAAAAAACCCAGTTGAAATGGTCGAATTATAGACTTGTAGGGTCTTGTGAAATTTTGTATCATAGTTTTTGAGCCTGCAAATCACTGTGATAATGCTTCCTTGATTATAGTAAAAGTAGATAAAATTGTTGGTATTAAATATCTAATTGTCCTTTCTCTTTCTAAGAAGCACAATTTGCATTTACAAATTGTCTTGTATTTTCAAATTGTCTTGTATTTTCAACATATAATGAACTGGCCATGCTGAAAGTGTGCCAAAAAAATCAACATATTTATTTAATAATAATGTTTTTAGCTGTGACTTTCTGTGTAAAATTATGGAAACTTTGTTTGCTGTTATGCCATTTTTATTTATAGTGACTACCGCCAACTTTGATGCAACAGTCCCACAGGCCAGGCAAATTCTCAAAGAGGAATTTCGCAAAAATAAGGATGTGACTGATTTGCGAGTAATTGACACACTGCTTATCCAGGTCAGTAAATCGCTAATCTACAGTAAATCCTCAAAAATTTCAAACTATTCAGTTCTTCAAAACTTTTTTCAAACGTTTTATTTGATTACTCTTTCTGGAAATTTTGAGCAAACTTAAAACATCTATGGCCCCATTCAGAATAGGGGACTAATTAGTCAGAGGGTCAAATATGGATATCAATTCAATGTCTATTAGCAGATTAGAGAGCAAGCTTTGTAGTGGGTCGCCATATTTGACCTTCGGACTAGTTGGCCCCCTATTCTGAATGGGGCCTACATTTGTTTTTGTAGGTGTGCATAAATTTACAACCAAAAATTTCAAGAAAAGAGCAGTTTAAAGCTTTTTCATGGTTGATTGAGTAATATAAGATACTAGTATAAGTGGTTTATATGCATCACTGGGAATCCATGCTACACTGATGCTGGGTTCATATGTATCTTTAAGCGTTATTTATTGCATCAAAATTGACAAAGTGACCCATTTTATGCATCTATTTTTTATGTACAGACAGATGTGTCTGTACATATAGCCATCACCTGCATCTGTCGTCGTGGCCGTGCACTTTCACCACCAATAACACGATAAATGAAAAACCGTTTTACCTTTTGGCTTGAAACTTACAGAATTGATGAATATTTATAATAAGCAGGTCAAGTCCGAAAATCAGCATGATCGGGTCATTTTTAGGGAAGTTATGCTGTTTTTTCACTTTTTTCAACATATATGCAACACCGATAACATGATAAGTGGAAAACCATTTTACCTTTTGGCTTGAAACTTACAGAACTGATGAAAATTCATAATACGCAGGTCAAGTTCCAAAATTGGTTTGATTGGACTATTTTTACAAAATTTATGCTGTTTTCTTTTCCATAATTCAGCATATATGCAACACTGATAACGCATTTTAAGGAAAATCAATCAGCCTTTTGTCTTGAAATCACAGGAGTGATCAGTCTGACTAGTTTACAGGTCAAGTTTGAAAATAAGCTTGATCAGTTAAGTTTTGATAAAGTTATTAGCCTTTTTGCATACAAGTGGTTTTTCTTCAGATTTAATTCTTAGGCATGTTAACAGTCTCATTATGGAACTAATTAGATATGTAAAAGTGTTGTTTTGACATTTTCTGCTTCTTAACAATATTGTTAGTTAGTACGCTGGCGGTACTCATGGTTTTAGTCCCGACCCATCTCATACAGCTCCGCCGGCTTCTGCGGCTCCGCAGGATGACGTGGGATACAAGTCACCATTACCGCTTCTCCTCCTAGACTGTAAGGATCTGTGTCCCCATCTCTGGGATTTAGGTCACATATAATCTCAACTTGAACCCCTAGGTTTTTTGTCTCAGTTGGTGCATTGACCTGGGTGTGACGCTTGTTGAAACGCACCCTTGTCAAAATTTTTGAAAATTCAATGCTTAATATCTCCCAAACCAATGGAATTATGGGAATAATTACTACAGATGGCTGACCAAAAGTCGTATGTGAGGATTTCAAATATGCCCTTGGATTTGACTTTTGACCTTTTTTTCAAGGTCAAACGGGCCAAAATTTTCTAAAAACGGGAAATTTTTGCGAGAAAAATAAATTGCGAGAAAAATAAATTTTAAAAACTAAACAGATCTTACCATGGGCGGATTTAGGCCGTCTTCTGGGTCTTCCGGAAGACGGTCAGATTTTCAAGTTTACATTGACAGGTATCTATTTTTTTCTGTTGGAAGACGGTCAAAATTCGAGGATGGATCAACAAAGATAATTTGGAAGACTGTCAGAAAATAGCTCTGGATCCGCCCCTGCTTACCTTTAATATCATGGGCAGGTGTTACCCTTAGGGTCATCTTTCATTTTCGTGAGTTTGGGGTCAATAGGTGCATTTTCATGGTAGTAGCGGCCATAAAATGCTGAAACTGAAAACTCTCTCTAATTCTGGAACCGTTAATGCTAGACACCTCTTGTTTTTTGCATTTTGTAGAACTTGTTAAAGGCAACACTGGAAGTTATGTCCATTTTTATGTACAGACACAGATGTGTCTGTACATATTGCCATCACCTGCGTCTGTCGTCGCCGATGCCGTCGCCGATGCCGATGCCGATGCCGTCGCCGATGCCGTGCACNAATGCTTAATATCTCCCAAACCAATGGAATTATGGGAATAATTACTACAGATGGCTGACCAAAAGTCGTATGTGAGGATTTCAAATATGCCCTTGGATTTGACTTTTGACCTTTTTTTCAAGGTCAAACGGGCCAAAATTTTCTAAAAATGGGAAATTTTTGCGAGAAAAATATATTGCGAGAAAAATAAAATTTAAAAACTAAACAGATCTTACCTGGGGCGGATTTAGGCCGTCTTCTGGGTCTTCCGGAAGACGGTCAGATTTTCAAGTTTACATTGACAGGTATCTATTTTTTTCTGTTGGAAGACGGTCAAAATTCGAGGATGGATCAACAAAGATAATTTGGAAGACTGTCAGAAAATAGCTCTGGATCCGCCCCTGCTTACCTTTAATATCATGGGCAGGTGTTACCCTTAGGGTCATCTTTCATTTTCGTGAGTTTGGGGTCAATAGGTGCATTTTCATGGTAGTAGCGGCCATAAAATGCTGAAACTGAAAACTCTCTCTAATTCTGGAACCGTTAATGCTAGACACCTCTTGTTTTTTGCATTTTGTAGAACTTGTTAAAGGCAACACTGGAAGTGATGTCCATTTTTTTGTTTTCGATACGGCTAAGGCATTGCACTATATCAAAAAGTTCAACATTCGAAATTCAGTGGTGAAAATAAAATGTGAAATACTCCAAAATTAGCAGAGATAAGCCCATAGTTACTAATGAACTTGAATAGGAAGTCATATACTGGTAATCTAACTGACCTTGAAATTATCCTTTGACATACTTTTCATGATGAACTGCACTTTGCAAGTTTTCTGATCTTTATATCTCCAAAACTGGCAAAGTTACTATTGACCTTGAATAGGAAGTCATATAATGGCAATCTAACTGTGATCCTGAAATTGACTTGACCTAATTTTCACCATGAACTGAACTTTGCAAATTTTACAGCCCTTATATCTCTAAAACTGGCAGAGATACATCTGTAGTTAGTGTTGAACTTGGGTGGGAAGTCATATACTGGCAATCTAACTGTGACCTTGAAATTGACCCTAGACCTACTTTTCACCATGAACTGAAATTTGCAAAATTTCTCTCCCTTATATCTCGAAAACTGGCAGAGAGATGCCCATAGTTACTATTGAACCTAAATAGGAAGTCCTATACTGGCAATCTAACTGTGACCTTGAAATTGACCTTTGACCTACTTTTTATGATGAACTATATACTTTGGGTATTTTCTGGCCTATGTATCTCCAAAATTGGCAAGGAAATGCCCATAGTTACTATTGAACTTGAATAGGAAATCATATACCGTGACCTTGAAATTGACCTACTTTTCCACCATGTACTGAACTTTGCATATTTTCTTGCCCCTCACATTTTTAAAACTAGCAGAGATATGCTCAGTGTTGCCCTTATGTTTTCTCTTTTGTCAGTATATATGCAACACTGATAACACATTTCAAGGAAAACCAATAGGCCTGTTGTCTAGAAAATCACAGGCCAATACGAAAATCCACTTGATTGGACCATTTTTATGTTATGTTTTTTTCTTTTTTCTTTTTTGCATATTTTGAGAATTCTTGTTTATTGCATAAAGCTTTTACTTATAATGCTTTTACTTTCGTCGGTGTTACCTGTTGTGCATAATTAAAATTTGATGTTGACTCTGCAGTTAAACATAATGTATTATTGCGTCAGAATTGGTAGTCTCCTATTTTGTGCATTATTGTTTTGTGCTTTTCTTAAGGTGTGACTTATGGGCCTGAAGTCCTTTGAGAGGGTCAGTCTGTAAATTTCCCTTGGGTATCACTAGGCTAAGTTCAGAGTTATAAAGTCATTTGCCTAATAAGTAGGCCATTAAATGAGATTACATAAAGCACACTTGTTGATATTTCCCTGGAAACTCCCAAAGGTTAAGCTCTCTGCTAGATTAATAATACGGAAGCAGTGATAATTATGCAGGTAAATTTTGTTTAATATTGCAAATAAGTTTTTAATATATATATATATATATATATATATATATATATCAAACTCAAAGATTAAAAGTTTCAATAGCAGCTTCATTAGCATTATATTTACTTCTGCCAAGGAGGTTATGTTTTCACCCCTGTTTGTCTGTCATTAACATAACTCAAAAAGTTATGGACCGATTTTGATGAAATTTTCAGGAACTGTCAGAAGTGGGTCAAGGAGGACAATGATTAGTTTTTGGTGGTGGTTCGGATCAATAATCAATCAATAATCAATAATAATCAAAAATTGCTGCCTTGGCAGAGGTCTGTGCTCTCGGAGTGCTTTCCTAGTTTTGTTATGTTTTCCTTTTTAATTTTTTCTCAAACACTGGCATTTGTGACTTTAAACTCCCATCCGCCTGAGGCTCTGCACATTTTCTATATTTCCACATAAGCAGTTGTATTGGTTTTTATGTCTTTAAACATTATGTAATATTATTTTATGCACTGTCATCATTTTTCAAATATTGGGACTTTCATCTTGTGAATTTGAACTCTCATGGTCCTGAAACTGTAATCTTATTGAAGGAGTGGATTGAGACCATCTTCTGGGTCTTCCAGAAGACGGTCAGGTTTTTAAGTTTATATTGACCGATATCTATTTTTTTTTCTGTTGGAAGACCATCAAAATGAAGGATGGATCAACATAGATACTTTGGAATACTGTCAGAAAATATCTCTGGGTCCGCTCCTGTTATTGACCATGTTACCTGTTGTGCATGATTAAAATTCAGTGTTGACTGACAGTGCTATTATAAGTATTATTTATTATTGTATCAAAATTGACAAAATGACCTATTTTGCATCTTTATTTTCTGTTTTTTGTCTGTACATTTGACAGCTTTGCTGCCTTGTTTATGTTTTGCTTGTTCATTTGACAGCTTAGCTGCCTTGTTTTTATTAATTATCCAATCTTAATACTGTTCTGAAATAAATATTTATAACTAAACATGATGCTTTAGTGTTTTGTAAGACTGGTCATAATAACAGTTAGAATGGAACAGTTGGTATCTGTTCAAATAAGATACATTTATATTTCATTCTTTAACAACAAATCAGGTTGTTAATATTGCAAATTGATTTTCGTTTTCATTTCAGGCCCAGCAACAGTTTGATGATCTCCATAATGTATACAGCCAACATTACCATATAAAACAGTACTTTCGTAAGCAGGACAAAAGAGACTTTTTACAAAAATTCTATGATGGAGATAACAAATGACATTTCACTTCATTTACCAATAGACTTGGTGTTTTTTCGTTCAAGACAAAGTCCGTATATTATTTTTGGTTGCTTTCAGTTCCTTTGGAATTATCATTTGGACAGAGTTCTACAATACCAAGTTCAGGAATTTACAGATCAACAGACATTCAGACATTCAAGAAATGTTTGCCTGCAAATATCTTTTAGAACATTATGATGGCATACTGAATGGTGTGTTGTTAACAAATGTCACATTAAGTTTGAATGAGGAAAAAAAAAACAAAAACAGTTTTAGTGTTACTTGGATTACTCACTTTTATCATTTATTAGCTTTTGTTCAATGACACAGAGCTTCGCTCAAATAAATGCTAACACTGTTATGAGTGATGCAGACTTGTTTCTTGAATCCATGATCACATTCATGACAATCAGAGGGCATAAGTATTGCCAGTAAAAAGGAAATACAATGCTTCTGAAAAGTACTGATGAAGAGTCTCCTCCAATTGTAAAATGAGCAACATTTAAATTTAGGACTTGATCCTGCTTGAATTCCCATTTTTGCTTCTAGTGTCCTGCCATCTTTGATAACTCCTACAAGAAAGAAAAAAAAAACCTTATGAGTACACTGATAGCATTGATACCATAATTTAATCAGGTTAATTGTACCACCAGTGTTGGCGCTGTTGGAAATTGACCTTTGACCTACCTTACGAAGAACTGAACTTTGATTGTACCATTTTAAGTTGTATATTTTTTTTGCATATTTTGAGAATTCTTGTTGATTGCATTTTTTTACAGCTTGTCAAACACAAGACTGGTGGTGGTGTCCCTTTTTTTGTGGGGGGGGGGGTCTATACGAATGTGCTTACTCCAGCTGGTGGTACAATATTCGGAGACGGTATCGCCTCTCTGATCCTCTAGTTCTGATTGGTCTTGTGAAAGGGAGAAAAAATGTAGTTTAATGGCGTGTTAGGACCAGTCTAAGTGTTTCAATACAGATAAGTGTAATGCAAGATGTGAAATAGGCCTTAGCCTCTACAGTAAAAACTTGAAAATTCTGTTAATTTTTCACATTAAAAAATTGACTAAACTCGTTAATAGACTTGCGTAAATTTAAAAGAAATTGTCATCCTATACAGTTGTGTTGTTCATTTAAGCTGCAACACATCAGTGTAGTTCAGACAATTTAAGTAACATATGAAGCAAACACAGAAATAGGTTATTTTGCTTTATCATCATTTGATCTTATTGTTCCCCAAAAGAATAAAATATGGCTTATAGAATATGTAAGTTTGGTGTTTCTGAAAGGAAATACCATTGTGTAACTCTTTCAGCACTGGAATGTCAAATAACAAACAACCTGCCTAATTTTGTCAGTAATTGAATTACCTTAAATTTGCCTCTATGAAAAGGTCAAGTCCAGTCAGAAACTCCGATAATTTACAGGTGTGAACCCTAAGAACTCCACAAGAGATTTTATAGCTTGTGCTTACTTTAAATCCAAACGGTTGCAGGATTATGGAAGCAACTTACTCTGTTCAGTGGTTGAAGTGGAATCCCACAAGGGTTAGGATTGACATTATTTTTATGAAACAATAGCTTTTTACAGGTGTCCATGCATAAACAATCTATTACAAAAGTAACTTCTATTGCGTAACTAAATTCTATCAAGAGATGCATATTCAGGCCTAAAAATAAGTTTTTTTTTTTTCAATCCACCTGCATAAAGACTGGTAATCTTCTTGATTTTTTAACTATATACAGACACTAAAAGTATAAAAAAATACATGCAAAATATCACAAACTATATGATATCTTTAGTGAAAATAATCACAAAATGCTGAGTTTAATACTTGTGTTAAATTATGACACTTAAAGACCTAAAAGTTACAATAAAAAATGCAAATGTGATTGTGCAACCACAGGAATTCTGATAACATATACAGGCGTCATTGACCAGAACAGAAAAAGTATTCAGAACATTAAATATCAGATACAATGACAGACAAAAGAAGCAGGAGAAGAAAAGCATATTATTCAAATAGTACCTGTGATAGAATATGCTGCACCAGTAATAGTGTCTGTGCTGCCTGTTTCTGACAACTGCTGTCAACACTCTTCTCTGAAAGGTCTGGAAAACATTTTTTTTAAATCAAAAATAGGACCATGTGAATGTACCACAAATGAAAGTAATATAAATAATTCAAAGATGCAATTCATGGAAATTTAAATTTCAAAAATGTTTTAAAATAGATCTTTCTAATAAAATATTAAGCAATATGTGAATAAACACAGCTTTTCAGGTGGTAAAATGCACAGGCACATTTTACAGAAGATTAAAGGAAACCTGTCACCCTTAGAGTGCATTCCCAGAGACTTAGACCGATCCATCCGGATCGACCTAACTCCCAAGGGGTTCACGCTAAATTGCTGTCAGCTGAGCGCGCACGACAGTTAATTACCCCCTTACAGCTTTTAGTAGGCAGGACAGCAATTTAAGCTGGCTAAACTGACAGTAATCTAGTGAGACTCCCCACGGGGATAGATCAATCTAAAATCTGTGGGAATGGGGTCTTAGTTTCAGAGAACCTTCTCCTATACCAGCATATGGCATGCGGTGATAGAGAAGATCTATCAATATGCCTTTAAATTCAGATGGACAACTGCTTTCTAAAATCTTAAAACATGTTCAGATAGTTCCCTCTACAAGGACTGCAGATTAATTATGTGCACTTTTTTCCAACGCAGAGGAGAAATGTGCAATGAATTAGTTGGAGACATATCTGTGAATATCTAGTACTAGTAAAAAAGAAAAAGAGGGTACCCAGATATAGGCTGTCAGGTTAATTTCACATTTTAGCTGTTAGGTTACTGCTACACCTTGCTGGTGGGCCAAGCAGGGTCTTCATCTACATCTTCATGCTTCTTTTCGAAACTGCCCTCGCTTATTAAGTACGTGGTCCATTAGTGGGCCACTGATGGCTTAGTATCTGGCTTTATTTGTTCATAGGTGGTAGCTATTGGTAGTAATCTTATGTCACTGGCTTATCCAATTCAATCAGAGGGAAGTCCATAAGGCTTGTGGTCGGGGAGGAGGGGGGGTGTCAAACAAACCAACCTTTTTGCCAGGGAAAGGTCTGCTGGTGGCAAAAATTGATTACATGAAGGTTTCATGGTAAAAGGTCCACTTTTTCAGAAAAAGAATTGCCCCCATTAAAATCGCTAGCTACAGGCCTGTGCATACAGCACGAAGTCCAATCAAATTTCTGTAAAATGAAACTGCTAACTTACCTTCTAACCACTGCCTCACCTCCACCACTTCTGTCTGAAGCTCGGTAATGAAGACATGAGGTGGCAGTGCAAGAAATGCCATGGAGACAGCAAACAGCACAGCTTGAAGAATGGACCTGTAATGATTCAAAATAAAATAAAATAAGTGCTTTCATTATCTCAGTTATTACATGTTGCTTCTTAGATGTACTTTCCTGGTAGCTTGGACGTAATAACGTTATTATGTCCAAGCTGGTAGTAATATCATTTCAAAATGTTTTAAATGCAACATACCGTCAAATGCAGAAGCCCACGTGCACAAGCACGTACCTGCACAAAAGTAAATTAAAATTCCATATCTTTTTCAAACTGATACATTCATAAAATAATTTGGAATATCTAATTCTTTGGTTGAGATTAAAAATTTTAATAAAATCATTCTTTCACAAAGAAGTTAATTTTTTTTAACAGACACAGTAGTAGAAAGTGTATCTCGTTTTCTATAGTATAAACTTTCTGAGTCAAACAATATGGGCAAAATCTAGTCTTTTTCTATATTTATCAGTAGTTCATGTCCAAGCAAAACAAAAGGAAAGATTAACTGAACTCATTTCCTGAGCACTATAAATTTGAAAAAAACTTCCTTATACAGGAAAAAAAAATAAAAAAAAGTTTAATGAATAGCTATCAATGATCTGATCTGTGATAGGTTCACCTACCTGTCAGGATGATATCTAATTCCCCATGTAAACTCAAGCAAAGATTTTCCCATGTGTTTTGCAATCTAGAACAAATTAAAGACAGTCAAATTTCAAAGTAACTGAAAGAACATCAAAGATGTAATAAAAAAAAAAAAAGACTAAAAAATTAACAGTACTAAACATCTATATTGTGATATTAAGTTTCCTGTGACGGTTATGTTATACAACTAAATGAATTGTATGTGGAAATGACAAGGTAATCTTTGTATTTTCAAATATAAGAATCATTGTATATTGGGATCATTTTGAAAAAAGATCGATAATCTTTTCCTGGCTACTTATTTCCTACTGTTATAGTAAAATTACCATTTTCAGAGATGACATGAAACTCATATGTTTCAACTTAACAGTTGTTTGATATGACTTTCATCATATCAAACAATTTATAATAATACTTACTGGAGCATTAGTGGCAGCATAAACAACTATACCCAATGTATACAACAAGCGTCCAAGTAACAGGCAATCCTCACCAAGTAGATCAAATGGAAGGTCATTTCTGAAAATTTGTGAAAAAAAAAACCCACACCATTCAATTATGTCTACATCAAAGATTTATATAACTAAAGAACAATTCAATTTCTTTTAATGCCCCAGTACTGCAAATAAATAAATAATTAAATGTTAATTATAAATAAATAAAAACAAATAAAGAAAGAGGAAAAAATTAATAAATGAAAATGTTTGCAGAAGTTTGTTATAAATTCAAGCATACATAAAGCATTTTCTTTCTTGCACTGCAATTTATGAGCATCAACTGACAGACATTTGTTAATGTGACTAGTATCACAATCTTAAACCCAACAGACATAATCTAATCTTCTTACTTTACCTGTCAAAACAATTTAATAGGGGGAAGAAAAAGTCTCCGGCCACAGGAGCAAATCGATTTGGTAGTGCCTCTGGTTTTGTCGCCTTTGGGCCTTTGGCAAATCTATGCGTCTTGGCTTCAATTCTCCTCTGCACTACCTCTCTCCAGTCCTCAGGTTTGATATCATTGCTCTTATTTTCCTGTAAGATCTGAATTGGTTTGGGTTGCATCTTTTCACCACAGTTTTTATGAGAAACAGTAAAGGGCTGGGAAAGCTCTTTGGCAATACCTNAAAACAAAAGGAAAGATTAACTGAACTCATTTCCTGAGCACTATAAATTTGAAAAAAACTTCCTTATACAGGAAAAAAAAATAAAAAAAAGTTTAATGAATAGCTATCAATGATCTGATCTGTGATAGGTTCACCTACCTGTCAGGATGATATCTAATTCCCCATGTAAACTCAAGCAAAGATTTTCCCATGTGTTTTGCAATCTAGAACAAATTAAAGACAGTCAAATTTCAAAGTAACTGAAAGAACATCAAAGATGTAATAAAAAAAAAAAAAGACTAAAAAATTAACAGTACTAAACATCTATATTGTGATATTAAGTTTCCTGTGACGGTTATGTTATACAACTAAATGAATTGTATGTGGAAATGACAAGGTAATCTTTGTATTTTCAAATATAAGAATCATTGTATATTGGGATCATTTTGAAAAAAGATAGATAATCTTTTCCTGGCTACTTATTTCCTACTGTTATAGTAAAATTACCATTTTCAGAGATGACATGAAACTCATATGTTTCAACTTAACAGTTGTTTGATATGACTTTCATCATATCAAACAATTTATAATAATACTTACTGGAGCATTAGTGGCAGCATAAACAACTATACCCAATGTATACAACAAGCGTCCAAGTAACAGGCAATCCTCACCAAGTAGATCAAATGGAAGGTCATTTCTGAAAATTTGTGAAAAAAAACCCCCACACCATTCAATTATGTCTACATCAAAGATTTATATAACTAAAGAACAATTCAATTTCTTTTAATGCCCCAGTACTGCAAATAAATAAATAATTAAATGTTAATTATAAATAAATAAAAACAAATAAAGAAAGAGGAAAAAATTAATAAATGAAAATGTTTGCAGAAGTTTGTTATAAATTCAAGCATACATAAAGCATTTTCTTTCTTGCACTGCAATTTATGAGCATCAACTGACAGACATTTGTTAATGTGACTAGTATCACAATCTTAAACCCAACAGACATAATCTAATCTTCTTACTTTACCTGTCAAAACAATTTAATAGGGGGAAGAAAAAGTCTCCGGCCACAGGAGCAAATCGATTTGGTAGTGCCTCTGGTTTTGTCGCCTTTGGGCCTTTGGCAAATCTATGCGTCTTGGCTTCAATTCTCCTCTGCACTACCTCTCTCCAGTCCTCAGGTTTGATATCATTGCTCTTATTTTCCTGTAAGATCTGAATTGGTTTGGGTTGCATCTTTTCACCACAGTTTTTATGAGAAACAGTAAAGGGCTGGGAAAGCTCTTTGGCAATACCTCGAAGTACCTGTAATATACCGGTAATACACCTTACACTATATACACTATTTGACTCCATAGTATCTCCTCCTCCAAAAGACTGAGAACTGAAATTGTAATTAATGTGGAAAATATGTTACTGAGGGGATAATACTGTGAATTGACTTAAATCTATTATAAAATAGTGTGTGAGTGTGTATGTGTGTGTGCACACACGCAGGCATCTGTAAATCATTAACTGTATGAAATTGAAAATCTTGACCAGTAACATTTGTACATTATACTGAATATTAACTTTGAACAAAACCAAAACTATGGGTGCTTTCCCAGAGATTTAGATCGATCTAAAGATTAAGATTTAGATCGACCCAACTCCCTGGGGGTTCACGCTAAATTGCAGTCAGCAGAGCGGGCACCATAGTTAATTACCCCCTTACAGCTTTTAGTAGGCGGGACAGACGCTTAAGCCGGCCAAGCTGACAGTAATCTAGTGAGACTCCCAACAGGGATAGATCGATCTAAAAATCTATGGAAATGGGGTGTATCTTAACCCTTGCCTAAGATGTATTTTCTTAGTGTACTTTAATCTATATTAATGATGTTCCAGCCTGGATGTACACTTTACCTCCAACATATCCATTCTCTGTCTTATGTTATAGTTTCTTCTGTAGAACTCTTTAGTCAAATAGGCGGATACCTGAAAAATATCATATTTTCTATTTTACAGAAACTAACAATCAGACACCTTTCAACGGATACAAAAGACATCTTACCAACTGATTTTCATTTAAGGTCTAATGATTTATTCATTTTACATATCTCCTATTGTAATAAAGCAAGATCATTACTGAATATAACAACAATGTGTTGTAATTGATAATTGGCTAGAAGCAGGTCACTTTATTGTGTTTCTTAAATGATTAAAGGGCAATTTGGAGTAATTTTTTTCGTATTTGCGAACCATTTATCCATCCTTCTCTGCACTTGGATTCGACCACTACTTAAATTTATAAAGGTTGACTTAATTAAGAAAGACTGGCCAGTCATTATAACCAGCAACAAGAACAACCTACCTCCACAGGACAAGATACGCCCAGAGCAACCATGGCGCTGTGTCGCAAGGAAATGAAGTTTAGTAAAGTAAAAGAGTCTTGGAGGTGCAGTAGGATCTTGATGAATTCAACAGCTATCTGAAAATCCAATCAGCAAATGACTAACTCTCTTAGCCTTGATGTGTGTGTGTGCACGTGTGCCTGTGCATGCACATGCATGCGTGTTGTAGACATAATTTTTTGTAAATTAAAAACAAGTTCACACAAATGTAAAAAATAAACAAATAGCACAATAAAATTCATCTCTAATATATATATGGCTTTTTTATGATCGAGTGCAGTTGGATTTCAAAGGCCATCTGCAATGAGAATCTACATAGTCCAAGAAATTGGTGCAGAAAAAAGGGTGAATTGTGCGTTTTTTACCTACAAGCATGAAATTTGGCACAGTGGTAGAGAATGAAATTCTAAGCAATTTTGGATATATGGGCATGTCTGGAAATTCCAATATGGCCGCCAAATACAAGATGGCCACCAAAAATACTCTTTTAAATTAAAACCTCTAATATTTAGTCCTATAATGGTTTAAAATATTATTTTACAGCTGGAAAATATCATGCTATGAACAAATTATCAATATCCGCTTCTACAGCTGTATAGAATTCCAAAATGGCCTCCAAAAGTAAAATAAGCAGTCTACTAACCCAAAATATGCAGTAGTTTGGTGAAATCGTCAAGTACTTACAATTACAAGCATAAAAATTGGCACAGTTGTAGAGAACATGATTCTAAGCAACGTTGGATATATGGGCATGTCTGAAAATTCCAATATGGCAGTCAATTTCAATATGGCCCCCCTTTCAAGGTGAAATTTATTTGTATAGTCTTTTATAAAAATATCATCTAATGGTTAGAAAATACCATAGTATGTATGTAGTATCAGTATCTGCCACTATAGGTTTTAAAATTCCAAAATGGCCTCCAAAAGTCGGCGGGCCATACCGGTAAGTTATGAATTATAATCACTCGTGAATAGGCATGTGGGCTTTGCAACTACCTGTATAATCAGCATATTCCTACTTGTGCAGGAGCTATTCTACAGAGTTTGTAAAAAAGCATCAAGCATGATACATTTTTATGTACTGAAAACAGTCCTTCTTTTGCTAAACCAATGTAAGTAGTTTGGCTTTTTGCTCTTGATTCTCATTTATATCAATTCCCAGTTAGCGATCTACTTAAATGGCACTCATGGGCGGCGACTCCCCCTTTCTAAGAAAAAAAAAAATCGTGCAAAATCCATAAAATGTGAAAGAAACACCAAACTAACTTAGCCTCAAAGAGGCAAATATAAAAAAAGCTTGGGGTGTACCAATTTTGTCTGTTGGTCGTGTTCTTCAGCTATATCAGTGCATGGCGCTTCACAATATAAAAGTGCTGTAAGGACAGATTTTTAAGTCACCCTTCGTGATCAAACGCTCACAAATATAACAAAAATGACAGCTAATCAAACATACAGGTCTCAACAATTTGGTGTGGTGCATTGGTAAAGTACTAAAGGCAGGGGCACATTTGCACGCGGTAATCTTATGATGTTATCTTGTGCTTCAAAAGTGAATAAGAAAAGCTTCTAATTTCAAGAAATGGATTTAGTACATTCGCAGTACTGGCTACCGAGAATTTAGTGAAAATTCATGAGCAAAGAAATACCCCAAACAGAGGGCAGGTGTTGATACGTGCTGTATCCAAGAGTTGCATTGCAAGCTTCAAACTACGTGCACTAAAAAAGTAGGCACCAAACATTGAATCATTTGATCATTTGGCAACTTGTTTAGTTACAAACTTATACTTTCAAATAACTGAACATGATAATAAAAAGATTAAATCCTTCAGAAAGTTAATACATATAAGCTTCAAAAATTCACAGTGTATTCTGAGGATTATACCAAGAAATTAGTGCGATACGGACTTTGAAAGGTAAATATTCATCGAGATTTCCGGCATCATTGTCTCTGTGGGACAATCCAGAATGAAGCCATGGGGAGTATTCACTTACCCAGATAACAAAACTTACCTTTCGCATGTAGCACCTACCACATTTGTTCGTAGTTATGTGTGCAATTGCTAACTGTGGTGAGGGGAGTCAGAAGCATTGGAAGACTTGTCCTATATGGGTTCACACTAGTAACCTACATTACTAATATGCCCTACCACACTTTCATATTCCTATTGTCCCTCATGCATGTTAACTGATGCTTTCTGGTGTTAAAAATGACCAATGCCTCTTGGTATTTTGTTGGGAAAAGTGGATTACATGTAGAAGCTATAGCTTTAGGCAAATTCTGGGAAAGCTGAGGGAAACATAACTAAAGCTAGGCACACATTATTGAATGAAAATTATTTAACCAAATAAGTAGAAATTTCGGTGTAGCTAGCTGTTATCCTCTGTTGAGATATTGTCCATTTACTAAAGTAATAGGTTGATCGCCCATAAAATGTGCAACACCTACTTGATAAAATAACTTTCATCAATTTAAAAACTTATTTGTGAAAATACCTTGTCATTTTTATATCCTTGGCATTTAAAGAATTGCTGCATGTGGTGTCACAACTGGACCAAAAGGAGTCCTGTTCCACTTTTTATGGTCATTTGGATCTTAATGTAACTAAAGGGGCGGTTTTTGATAATTCATCTAAACTGAGCTATGTTTTCAAACCAAAAAAGATTAAAGATTGTTATAAGATTATGAAGTAGAATTTAGGGTTTTAGTGGCCATATTAGAATTTTCAGACATGTCCCTATGTAAAAAAAAAAATTGCTTAGAATCCTGTGCCAATTTTCATGCTTGCATTTTTAAGTGCATGATGAATTCACCATACTGCTGCTGTGAGTGGCCTGTTTTTCTTATTTTTGGGGGCCATTTTGGATTTCTATATACCTAAAGAAGAAAATTTTGATACTTCATGCATACCATAGTTTTGTCTAACCATAAAATGTTATCTTAAGCTATTATAGGATTATATACTTGAAGTTTTAATTTGAATGGGTACATGTGGCGGCCATATTGGATTTGGGGGCCATATATTGAAATTTTTAGACATGCCCATACATCCAAAAGTGCTTGGAATCCCATTTTACAACTGTGACAAATGCCTTGCTTGTAGTTTTTGATGAATTCACCACTCTGCTGGATATCTTGGATTAGTAGAGTGCATTTTACTATTGGCGGCCATTTTGGATTTAATACACCTTAAGAAGCGGATATTGATTCTGAATTAATACTGTGGTGTTTTTTAACCTTTATATGATTTTTAAGCCCTTAAAAGACTATATACTTGAAGCTTTAATTAGAAGCCGTATTTTTGGAGGCCATCTTGGATTTGGCAGCCATTTTTAAATTTTCGGACATGCCCATACATCCAAACTTGCTCAGAATTTCATTTTCCACAAATGTGCCAAATTTTATGCTTGTAGTTTTAAGTGCATGATGAATTCACCATTCTAATGGATATCTTGAATAAGTGGTCTGCATTTTTACTTTTGGCGGCCATTTTGGATTTTATACAGCTGAAGGATTCATACCATTGTGTTTTCTACTCTTTATATGATATTTTAAGTCATCAGAAGACTATGTACTTGAAGTTTTAATTTGAAAAGGTATTTTGGTGGCCATCTTGGATTTGACGGCCATTTTGGAATTTTCAGACATGCCCATATATCCAGATTTGCTTAGAATTTCATTGTCCATAAGTGTGCCAAATTTCATGCTTGTAGGTAAAAAATGCACAATTTTTCACCAAATTCCTGGACTAACAGTAATAACTTTTGCAAACAGTTTGTATAGCAGATTTTAATGCTACTTAAACACTGTGACTTTTTAGTGCCATGCCAAGATCTTCTGTAAGCACTTGACTTAAAAAGTGGTCGAGTGATAATGACAAGTGGATTTGAGTAAATCTGTCACAAAGGGAAAAATAAAAATTAAATCAGTATTATCATAAAATAATTGAACCAATATAAAACTGACCTCTTTAAGTCCAACAGGATTGGATCTTATTAGATCAGCAGCAGCACATAGACAAGACTCAACTCTTTCTGGGTCATCCGATGATATGAGACCTTCCATGCAGTCCCGCACGTATCTGGGGGCCTTTGTCTTCGTAACTGGTGCGTCATTGGACATATCATATGGCTCCAAGTCATCATCACTGAAATCCACAGCAGATGAAACAAAATAAATCCAAAAGCCTGTTCAGAATAAAAATTATTTAGACAGATAACCAAACTAACTTTGGTCATCAGAATACCGGAGTGAGCGACCGGATTTACGTAATGGCGTGGTTGCAATGGGGTTATTTGTTTTCAGTTCATATGTGACGCATATGAATTTCCAATCTTCTGTAATCCTCATGTGAACAAGCTAGTGTCATGACAGCAGGGACATAGTAGGCGTTATAAATACATTGTAACAAGATGGCATAACACGAAAATACCATTTTTGTGCATGAAAGTCAGTCCCAGATGTGAAACACTAACGTCAAGTATATTTCAAAAGGGCACCTGCATCTTTAACTTTGTGAGGTAAGGCTCTTTTGCATTTTCCAGCTCCTAATCATTTTCACTGGAATCTTTTAAAGAGTAGCTAAACCTTAACAGAATCAATAGATTAAAAATTTGACATTTAGTGACTGCTTTGTAATTCTCATTTTATTTTTCTTATTTTCTATTACTGATCATGGTATGTGCTATCTAAATGCAGTTTTTAAAAAACCTAAGAGCGGATTCTCAACGAATTGAGCCAGGCTTTACAAAGCCGGTGACCTAAAAATGGCGGACGTACATGAAAGAAAACCGTCTAATCTTTTAATAGTCTCTCCGCCTCCCCACACATCGTCCCTGCGGGATACAGTAATTAAATCTCGGCTCCGTTCGCCATGCGGAAGCTACCTGAGAAATATTAAGTGCGCATGCTCATCAGTTAAACTCGTGGTGAAGAAAGCATGGCGGCTGAAGGCGTTCGAAGGACAAGGCAGCAAAGNTAAATATAAAGCCAAAAAATAAAACTGCCCTCCACTTATCGTGTTTACAAGAAAAGTGCACAGCGCCGGCATCGCCATCGCCATCGGCATCGCCATCGCCATCGGCGACGGCGACGACAGACGCAGGTGATGGCAATATGTACAGACACATCTGTGTCTGTACATAAAAAAAGCTCTTCTGTTTTATTATCTGTCAAAACAGAGACGAAAAAGGAATGAATTGGCCCGTAGAGCAGCAACGAATCGACTATCTACAGAGATAATATCACCAGAGATATTCACAGAACTACCCAGCCCCAGTAGACGTAGTTGGAGGTTGGAGCCGAGATTTAATTACTGTACCCCGCAAAGACGACGTGTGGGGAGGCGGAGAGACTATTAAAAGATTAGGCGGTTTTTCTTTCATGTACGTCCGCCATTTTTAGGTCACCGGCTTTGTAAAGCCTGGCTCAATTCGTTGAGAATCCGCTCTAAGGCACACATCATTTAAGTTTAATTATTTATTTATTAGAAAATAAAATGCCTTGCTTTTACACAATGCACATTCCATGAAACCTAAAATATGATTACTTATAACAGTATAAAATATAGCAAAAGAAAAAGCTGATAGACTTAGTCGCCACCTGGCGACTATAAAATAAACTAACTACATTCCGTGTGACTTCAATCTAGACCATCATTTGCTTCCTAATTCTGGAAAACATACACATCTCAAGATATAGTATTTTGTTATGTTTTACCTGTCAAGTTCTTCTGTATTTGCTGCTTCCATTATCTGCTCCTGCTCCTTTGTGGAACAATTTTCCTTCACCTCAGAGTCATTTTCAGCGAGTGTTACTGTTTGAAAATCTCTGCTGGAAAAATTTTCTATCATTAATACAACAACTCATAAAAATAAAAAAAATTCACTTCATGGTATCAAATTATAAATATTTTATACCTGCTTATTATGAAATGTTGAATAAGATTAACAATTCATTTTCCAACCTTATTCAATATTTGGGCTCACTAATGCCGAAACTGTTTTCTTCATAGAGTAACTTTACAGTAAATTCATATTTTGGCAATTAAAAAAAAAAAAAAAGGAATGAAAACCGTTTATTTCTGCAAACCTTTGAATATCAACTAAGCCTGGATCAGAAGGTGGAGTGACTAGGGAAAGCAGGTGGTTCACCTCTTCTGTCTTCTCATACTGAAATAAGACAACAGCCTTTCACAATTTGCTTGAGGAATGCTTGAGTAGTGAAAGTGGAACTAAAAACAAGATAAGAAAGAAGTTTTAAAGTCATATCTAAAAAAATCAGAAGAGTTACACCCAAGCATCTTTTGCAAGAAGAAACACAACTGAAAATAAGGTAGAAGATTCTAGAAAAGAGACTTACTAACATTAATTTTTTGATAAACATCAACATTTGAATTCGTTCATTAAAAAAAATTGCCTTTTTACCAAGCCACGGTGACAATACTTAGATGCAGTAGATGAAAGTAAAAGAAATATGTACTTATAAAATGCACCACAGATGTGTTGGATTGTGATGGTGAAGACACAGACAAAGTGTTAAGACCATTTACAGACACATACAAAGTGTGTATATAACAAAAGTAAAGACACTACATATGATAAATTTTCTACCTCAAATTCTAACTTGGGTCCTTTGGGGTCCAGAGCTGTGGTCAGTGCCTCAGCCACAACCATACCAAGGAGTCTTACTTTGAAGGCCTGGTTGTCTATGTGACACTGGACACCGGTCATCAGTTTTCTTATTAAGTCTGAAATACCATTTTGATTACCTGGTCAGTTGGTTAAACAAGCAAACAAAGGAACGAACAGTTTTTTCATTAATATCTTTAATGAATCTTCAACTACTACTTGGGATGGAAGGGATATAAATATTTAAAATCAGAACATGTTTATGAACATGTCTTTTGGTCACAATTTTATTCAAATATACTCATATATTCAAATTATACACTACAGGAATCATCACTTTACTTAATAACTGAAATGTTTATGTTTCACACACAATATAAAAACTCAATGACTTCAGCAATAAAGCTTAAACTATATTTAACAGTTATCCATATAAGGTCACTTAGAATTTATTGCTTATCCTCAGTGTGTGGAAACTAAAATGGCTGAAAGTTTTCATTTTGTCAACTGTTGCAGGCCACTCTTCAACAGACTGATTTTAACCAGCTAGATGAAGGAAGATATCACTGGTAAAAATTATTTTACCAAAGCACAAAGCGAGAACTAGACGCAAACAGTACATCTCTCTTCTTTGAGTCTGATACAAACACAATTATTAGTATCTCTCTATGTGTTATGAATCTGATACATACACAACATGCACATTCTGCCAATCTAACTCATCAAAAACAATGTCAAGATTTTTACCAAAAATGCCTGGTTCAAAACAAATGCCTCCACACAGTATTGTCTGTGCAGATAGGTTTCATATTTCATACCTCCTTTATGTTGTTCCTTATCCCTATCACTCAAGAGTCCTATGCCAATAAGAATTGCCCTGGAAATGTAATGATGCTGTTCATATGCCGTGTGTTTCACTGCACTGCTGTCTCCCCATACTTCTAGAAGAGTCTGAAGAACCTAGATTGAGCAAGTTGAAAGAAGCGAAGTATTGAAAAAGGCACGAAAAAGGTTTGTATTATGGGGATTTGAAAACATGCACACACATTCACACACACACACACACATAGTATATGATTTTCTCCCCAGTTTTAACAAATAAATAAGGATTCCACACAAATGTTATTTAAATTGCTCACTCATCTCATTTGTAAAAAAAAAAAAAAAAAAAAAAAATCGAACAAAAGCCTTAGTATCAAATATACCTGGATAAACAGAGGCTTTCTTGTATGGGAACTTGCCAGGTGCCCAACTATGTTCTGTAATATCAGGTCCTAGAAATTAATAAGAATCCAACTGCATTAACTGAGAAACAACAGATCTTAACCAATTTTAGGAAAGGTGACAAAGAGAAACCCAATCCCTTTTTAAATGCACTATACAAGTTGAAACATCACTTATTCATCTCACCCTACATAACTATCACAGTCACGAGATCATGACAACAACTGAATGAGTATTAAAATAGCGTATCACCTACAAGGCTACAGCCATTTAAATATAAACTGACTGAAACACATAAAAGACAATGAAAAAAGTGCCAATTACCTGTTTAAAGTGTCTGTATAGAAGAAGTTTGTTAGTGAACAAATACTTCAGTTTTTGTTTTGAAAGAACAGCATCCCCTAGTAGTTTGTTCACAGTGCCATACCTATAATAAAGATGTGTGTAAGAAATAATGATGATTCCATATACAAGTTAAGGGATATCAGATTCAAAAACATACAATAATTATTAGGTTTTATGATGAAAACATGCACAGTAATTAAATGAGATTCATTTCACCAGACACAAAAAGGGAAAAATAAATATTTAATGAGCATATCTTAAAAATGTCCTTAAATGAAGTAACTGCTCTTTATATTTTTTCCTAAATCACTAGTGTATAAGAAAGTCTCTATAGACCCCCTTCAAAAAAACTTTAACAAAAAAAAAA